CACAGATAAGTGAAATCATTTGGTACTTGTCTTTCTCTGCCTGGCTTATTTCACTGAGCATAATACCCTCTAGCTCCATCCATGTTTTTGCAAATGGTAGGATTTGTTTTCTTCTTATGGATGAATAATATTCCATTGTGTATATGTACCACCTCTTCTTTATCCATTCGTATACTGATGGACACTTAGTTTCCTTCCATTTCTTGGCTATTGTAAATAGTGCTGCGATAAACATAGGAGTGCATATGTCTTTTTCAAACTGGGCTGCTGCGTTCTTACGGTAAATTCCTAGAAGTGGAATTCCTGGGTCAAATGGTATTTCTATTATTAGTTTTTTCAGGAACCTCCATACTGCTTTCCACAATGGTTGAACTAGTTTACATTCCAACCAGCAGTGTAGGAGGGTTCTGTCAAGGTGATTTGTTACATGGAAATTTAGGAATCTGTTCTAGAAATAGGTACTAAGAGTAAATAACTTATGTGAATTCTTAGTATTATCTGTCCCCTTAATAAAAAGGAATATATAATTATTGAATCATTGCTTTTAGCCTAGGTACTGTGTCAGAGTCATAAATACATGTTTTCTTATTAAAGAAGCGGCATGAGGATAATCAACTTGGTAAAAAATTATTACTTACTACTTATAGTAGGAATGTGAATGAGAGATATACCTCCATTTGTCAAAACTGAAAAGGTAAGAGGGACTTGTGTAGCATTATACATCAACACCCCATTTAGCCAAGAAAGGGTACCAGTTATTGAACAAAAATGGCATGCCAGAGTATAATAGTTTGGTTTATAATGACATTTTTATACTGTTTGTATTGTGCTGATTAGAGAAATTTTAGAAGATATGGATTTCTGAGTAATTTCAGTGTACATGGAGATGATCCTTCTAATACCCTCTTTGTGTCTTGAACTCTACAGATATCCTGCATCCTGTATTACTTCTCAACTACTCACAATAATTGTAATCTTCTATAATCTCAGTTTTATGCTTCCTACTCTCTGACTGCCACTTATCTTTCTTGCTCTTTTGTTTTGGTATCCTGGCTCCAGCTGTGTCCTTCAACCCCACCAGGACCTAGAGTCCATGGCCCCCCAGCTTTTTCCTGTCCTTTACCACTTGATGTCCTTTTTTCTGTCAAAGCTTAGATATTTCTTGATCATTATAATTACTCTCTTGCATATACCTGTGACTTCTCATGTCATTGGCACAACCTCAATGCTGTTAAAACTAACTCTCTGCTTACTTCATACTTGTACTTGTGCAGCTGAGTGTGGCTGAAGGAAAGCATACAAACCATTTGACTGGTCTCACTTTAAAGCTGTGACTACTGACTTGT